AGTGAACGAACATTATTGCCACCACCATTCAATACATTATGCATAATTTATGAATTATTTCGTTGTTTCTACATTGGTACTAGTCAATGCTTCTGTAAGAATATAAAATTCCCATTTGGAAGAAATAAAAAATTGTTTAAAACTGAGTCAAATGATGACTTGGAGGAGCAAGAAAATGAATCACCTGATGAAGAGAATAGTAATTTGAAAAAACATTTAACTAGAGAAAACCAACTAATTAAAATTAAAGAAGAGAATAATAAACGAATTAAATTATTAATGGGTGAATCAGATGATCGTGGTAAATTATATAAACAAGAAATTGACGCCGTATTAAAATTCATTTTAATACAAAGTTTTGCATTACAAAATAGTAGGCAAACATTGGGTACAGGAGTTAGTTTCAGGGGACCATATACCAGTCAAAGTGCAAGCAGTTCTGATGGAACAACTACTAGTGAAAGTATACAATTACGTAATAATCAAATAGATAGTCGATTGGAACGTATTGAAGCTATATTAGAAAAAGTTGTTGATCGTGTGAATCAAATTAAAATAACCGATACATTATCATCTCAAGTAACACCAACTATACGTTCACCTGTTCCTATACGTATGCCATCTGTAAAATTAACTCATGCACCCACTGATGTACAGTTTATACCTACAAAGATTCCAACATCAAAAGAATTATTTCAACAGCTTAATGAAGAGTCTCAAAGTGAAACTGAAACAAATACACATTCTCTCACTAGTAAACTACCATCTATCAAAATACAAAAGTCATCTTAAGACACTGTTTAGTTTTTATGCAGTTTATTAAAAAAACTCTTAAAAACCTATGCAATTAGATAAACACAATAAAAAAGTGTTTTACTTTCTTATTATTTAGAACATAGAAAACTTAAAGATCTATGATATTCAAACTATAGAGAATCATTTCTAGTACAGTTGTTATTAATTCCTTAAAAAAGAAATGTTTGGGAACTATATTTAATCAATGTACAATTTAATGAAACGAACAAATATGGAAAGTATTTATTCTATCTGTAATGTCATAAACAATTAAAACAAACATTAAAATGTGTGGAGAAGATTTGTAGCTCAGATGGGTGATTTTGATGGAGTTTTCTTCTCTGAGCTGGATGATTTGGTCGTGGAGCTTTCATCGTCCTTTTGAACGACATCATAAGCACAAACTTCGGGTAGATGATGATGTTGTTCAAAAGGACGATTAAAGCTCCACGACCAAACCATCCAGCTCAGAGAACAAAACTCCATCAAAATTAGAATGCGTTTTTTCTGCTTTTAAGTGATAATTAGTTATTCATCTATGACTTCTTTTACCTTTCCTTTTCTTCACTTCATTTCTTCTTTTTTTATCAATGACGAATCAATAATTCTATTAAATTTCTTACTTTATTACTCTCTCTCTCTCTCTCTTAGAAACAACATGTTATATGAAACAGTTGAAAAAAAAAAGAGACAAGACAATCCTAATAGATTAATTAATCAGGGATAGATAGATATATAATATACAGTAAATATTCAATCATTTTCTGCCAAACGTGTATCCCATTCATTCATTCACTCATTTGAGAATAGATCAGTTTGATTTAATTTAATTAAAACAAATAGCTTGTTTCTTTATTTTTTCCTTTTGTTTTCGCAGTTTTCAAATTATTTTTTAATTGTATAATCATTTAAATCTAATAATATAATGATAATAATAATAATATTATTATTATTATTGTATATTCTTTAATGATTCGATTAAAATCTTACATTGAAATTAAATATTTCCTTTTTACAAATTAGTTTCAAAAAAAATTTATTTTCCAAACAAAAAAAACAGAAAAAACAAAACAAAAAAAACAAACAAAGAACAAAGAGAAAAGAAATTTATTTAATCATATGTAGAATGTAAATTATCATTATTATATCATCATTATGTATTACATATTTAATTGTATATTGAATGTTTAATAATAATAAATTAATTTGTTGACAATCATTGAATTCTATTCGTTTCAATTATAATCTTTTGAAAAATGTTAAGATGTAAAAAATTAAAGTATTATCATAGTCGAAATCATGAGTCAATTGAAGCTAGACCACCATGGAGACTCTTGAAGCACTGGACGGCCGTTTCGTCCTATTGTCGGAATCCTCAACGGTGATCATCCACGATTCGAATCCAGGACCTACCAGTTTCTTTTGTGACTGACTTCAAGAGATATTTTCTGGAGTTCTAGTGAAAAACCGTGACCAGTGGAGTTCAATCAGGTCTGTTGTGAAATATCAACTCATTGAAGACAATTGGTGAACGGTTGCTCAAACTTCGTTGAAGTTAAGCATTAACACCATCGGATGCAGGCTCAGTGGTCTGGAGGTTAAGTGCTCTGGTATGAGAATGGTAGGTCCTGGGTTCGAATCTCGCGAGTGCAGGATCGTGGATGCGCACTGCTGAGGAGTCCCATAATAGGACGAAACGGCCGTCCAGTGCTTCTAGGTTTTCCATGATGGTCTAGCTTCAATTGACTCATGATTTCAACTATGAAAATCTTGAAATCTCCACAAAACCCCTTCTGATTAAAGTATTAACTTATTACTTTTTATCCATGTATTAGAGCATAACATAATAATAATAACAACTTCTAGAAGGCATATTTACAATCTTCATACATCTAGAAAGAATACTCTTTTCTTTTTTGTTTACTAAAAAAATCGTTGTACAAGTTCATATCATGACAAAATCTCAGATTGATGGATAATAAGGATATCTGAAATTGTGTTTAAGATACTGAAGAATTTAGTCTGCATTATGAAAGAAAACAACACCTGAGTTTATACAGTATTACTAGTGAATCTTTTTTCATATTGATGAAATTAGAACATTTTAGTCACTCAAAATATGTAAGAATAAACATTCATATATACACTTATTTGTTAAGATCCGTTTGTAGACTTAATAACATTTATGTATTTCTACAATCCTCTCTATACGAATAATTACTAATGTGTTAATTATGGAGATTGAAAAGCTGTAAGACAAAAGTATATCTCAATCGGCTAGTCTTCGATGATAGTTAGATCAGTAGAAAGTTTTGTCATAGCATTACTAATCTATTGTGTACAACCTTTTCTTTCAGCGTATGAGTACACTAGATTTTTATCATAACGTATATTGTTAGGTTTTGATCTGAATATCAAATGTCGAGAATTCCTGTCTACTGTGAAATTCCTCTCGTCAAGATTATATCCATAATTATTTTTACATATAACTGGACGAACCATGTTATTTTATAGGTAAACCGTGTTTAGATGAAGGTTGTTGATAATTTCTATTCCTGAAAAGATGTTTGTAGTTGGCTCACAAATTTTGATCTTATGCTTTTTGATACATAAAACTTGGTAAACATTGAACTGTTGTCAATGTCTTCCTAATTTCCAAGAAGCGCCGATTACATAATGACAGGTAAATTAACGTATGGTATTTAGAACATTAAGTATGCAGGAAATATTTTTTTGCTTGTTGTACACTTAAGGTTGTAACTAACTGGCATTCATCAGCCATAGCGTACATAACCGTTTATTTACACTTAGTGGGGCTGTAGGACTGTTTAGGGTCGTCAGTATATATGAAAATTGTACACAGGCATCACCTTCACATGTGACCTTACTGAAACAGAGTAAATTTCGTGAGCAGACACTTAGAGAGGGACACGTCCAAATTATTCCTCTGACTATAGTTTATTGGAAGTCTTAATGTGATAAACTAAGCATAAAGCTGAGGAAAAAGACCAACAGATGCGTTCACGTGAAGAACAGTGATCAAAGTACGTCAATATGACAAGTGATGTTTCTGAGCTTAGTATTTTATGAGAAGCACTAGTAAAAATTTACCAACTCTCTAAGATTGATTCATCATTTTCTTTAATTTCCGAATATTACAACCACAGAAGTGAAAATAATGTTCCTAAGAAAGCTGTTAAAGAGCCTCTGCATGAACGGATCTGGAGAGAAGGAACTATCGTTGACCTTGTGTTATAAGACAACAATGATGATATTTAACAGACCTTTTTATCACAGTTGTGAAAACTGAGAGTATTCACAGATCGGTGACTGATTATCACCCAAATGAATTCCTTGACAAATTTATAGGGGGAAAAAACAAGGTTTCTCGAATACGATGAACTTATTACATTTCTTCAACAACATACAAGCTAATAATTTTGACGAGTAATATTTTAACAGACTTAGGAATTGCGAAATTCATTAAAGAAAAGTGAAACTGGAATGTAATTTAAATTGAGGGGTTTTGAGGAAGTTTCTGTAACATTTCCGGAGTATATCAGTTAAGTTTATTGCATAATTACAAAGGAAATGTCTAACAACATGAGAGAAAGGTAGTTTCTAAATACAACACACGGAGTTGTACTCATAATTACGTAAATTCTTTTACCTCCATGACTGAGAAAGGCGTTGATTATCACGGACTGCTTTCTAATAAAACAGCCAGGCTTTAGCCCAATAATTGCACCGTAGTAGAACTCCACCGAAATAATTTTCTTTCCACACTATAAAGCAAAGTTTGTGAAAAGTATTGTCCACTGTAATCGTTTTTCTGATAAATATGTTTCTGGATAGTTCTGTGGTTATTTTCTCGACAAACGTCAATTTAAAAGACAGATGTCATTTCTTCCAACACTTTATTGTCATTTTCGTATTTGGTCGAATTCCATGAAAAGATTCGACTAACTTATTTGTATAACGTACGAATGTACAACCATACCATTTTGGTGTAGTTCACGTTAGCTGAATTAATATTATACACGTACATAGATTACTAAGATACTCGAATTTTTTATTCATAGTATGTTTTATTTTTTTACTTCATAATATTCGAATTGCTGGACCTTACTACCGTCTAGTTTTAGGTCTATGTTGTACGATGTAGTGGATTTTTCAACAGCGAAAGAAGTTGGTGATGATAATTATGCATCAAAAACGGTGAGCCAGATTTATTTTCTAAAGCCCTTATTGTAACCAATATTCTATGAGATCATTAGAATAATAGTTCTTAATTACCTTAGATGATACTATCGTTAAGCTAATAAACACAATGATTGATACCATATTAAATCAGTTACTTCACAACTGAGCACATTTTAGGAAACGAATATTAAGCAAACACGATAGTAACAGTCATAATAATAGTAATAAATCATATTTACAATGTACATTTGCACCATACAATATAACTCAAAACATAATATCATTTAAAAAGAGAAGGAAACATTATCCTGTCAAGATAAAAAAATAAGAAGGAATAAAATCATCACCGACGTCTTTTATCGCGCATATAATTTTTAAATCGTTGAAGTGCAATGTTGTCTGTGGATTTTTCGTTACGAATATGTGGTCGGCTTTCTGCAAAAAAATATATATAAATACGAAAGCAATAAAATCTATATTGTAGATTTTAATGAGATCTAACAATTAAAAAGTTAATTATCAAGCCTTGGATGGAAACACTTAATTTAATGATCCAACAAGTGTTGCTTTTGGGAAAAAATTACATGAAGTTTATGGCTAGACGTCAAACTGAGCTTAAGTGTTTGCACGCGGGACCGAAGGTCCTGGACTCGATTCACGACACAGTAGTTTGAGTGGTTGGGTTTTCGCCAGACCTGAAAGTTCAGGATACTATTCCTGGTGGGCTTGTATATACGAATTGTCGAGGAATGAAACAGCTGTCCAGTGCTTCCTATTTTTTAATGGTACCCAAACCAAAGTCAATTTGTGATTAAAGTAAGCTACTAAACTGAGCTAGATTAAATTTATTCAGAATTTCACTAAACTACAACCTTTTGTTTCTAGTCTATATCAACGATAAGTAAGAAAAAGAAGATGAATTTCGATAAACTTACTATCTAAACGACGATTTTCCCTTTCAGAAGACATCGGATCATTTTTTGTTGATTCTAGTTTGCTTGTATTATTATTGGCTATGTGGTTGAGTTCTCGTTCATTGTTCAAATCAGCTCTTTTGCTGACTCCATTTGTGTAACTATCTATATTTTTAAAATGAAAATTTGTAAGGAAAACAGGAAACATTTGTTGATTCATACTTTATAAACACTAGTATGGGCAATACATTTTTGACAGCTTAAACAAATAAGTGAAGTGTCCCACAAATGAGCGTAATAATTAAAATAAATATTATTGAATTTATTGGGGATCTTAACAAGGATTTTGTGATCTACAAAGAAATTAGAGAATTCCAATATCATCTATACTTTCAATACCATGAAAATTAAAGTCACAACCAGTTCTTTTAGTAAAAATCAACGTATATTTTTTATGAGATCGTACCATTTTCAACCTTAACAAATGGAATCTTGGTATGATTTTAGGCTGACTCAAATGATTTCGAGTAGACAGGTAATAAACCAAACTCCTGGAATTACTTTGAATCAAGAATCAATCATATAACAGCTTTAAATACCATTTGGACTAATATAGTTGTTTTATTAATACAAACTTAGCATCAGAAGCAGTCAATAAATTTGAATATTAAACTATGAACCTGAAACAGTGTAAAAGTTGTTGATGTCACCCACCAGAGCACATAAAAGTATTAGGAATAAAATCGATACCGTGAATCGATAGTTAGGTTAAACAGTTCAACGACTAAATTGAATTATTTGACTCAGCCGTAAAAATGAAAAGCTTGAACATCTATATCTCTATCAGAAGGTTTATGATAAAATAATTAAAATAGTTTTCAAATTTCTAATTAATTCATTTATCAGGTACTTCAGTATGAGGCATATTTCAGGTGTGAGAACTAATGGTACTACCTGGTTGTCCAAATAAAAGTAAGCGAAATGAGGTTTGAACTTAAGGTTTAGGGGATGAAAGTAGAACGTCTTAACCATTAAGCCACCGCTCAAACGACCAAGCCAATGATAATTTTAGACTTGAAATTAAATATCGTGTGTATTGTTGAGTATAGCGTACAGACCAGTTTCAGGTGCACGCAGTGGGCACCCGAAATATTAAAAACTAAGGCATCCAAATAACGATAACTTAGTGAACTGATACAATGCAAACTATCTGGCCGCTAATAAAAGAAGACGTCGCCATGTTGTGATCCACGAAACATGTGTTACCTAATGACGACCAGAAGTTTTCACAGAAGTGATATTTCACCTACTTAGCCACCTCGATAAATTAATACTCCTTAACTTTGGTGGTAATACACTTTCCTTTTTTCTTTTTACTAGCACACAACAACGAAAACTAGGCTACTATTCACCTTGTGGTGTATGCTACTTATGTTGACAGATATAAGTAGTATGCAACACCAATCAGAAGTGGAATGCCTGGCAGCCACAGATTGCATTGAAGAGAACAAGAATATAAACACAGAGCAATTGTAATAACATAATTGAAAGAATCACGAAGCATGTAAAAGACAAGTGAAAGATGTATAAATAATGTATTTAATTTATGGTTTCCGTATTTTAAGAAAACACTGTAATTTTGCATTAAGCAATAAATTGGTTTCTCCCACCTAAGTTCTCGTTCACTACAACTTAACTCCATACGTTTTCTAATATAAACCTTTGATGTATACAAATTAAACGACACATGAAGAGAACGTGGCAAAAACAATCAGATTGACTATAGTATAAATGTTGGTAATACGGAATATCTCACTGTATCATACTTTATATGTTCTGTGAAATATGGACAAATAAATCTGGAAGCTACACATGAATAGACAGCAAACAATAACTCACTCCACCGACTATGCTGAACGAAGTTGACTGCCATACTAGTTGGTGCTATGTGATTTGTTGAATAACCATGTTTGCGACCTAACCTTTTCCTAAAAAGTGTTTGCTTGGCTTCTTCTGTGGCTTCTATGTTTTTCATTTTCGCTTCCACACCCAAATCGACTTCAGGAATACCGCATAGCATTTGGTTGGACAACATGTCTTCTTTCTGTTGACCAATTGAAGGTTTGAGATACTCAGGAACATCCTGTAGTAGGTCTGAATCCTCATCTCTAAATGAAATATAGAGAATTTACAAACAAAACATATTAACATGTTTAATTATCCAAAACATAGTCTTATCAAACTAATTTCAGTAACAGGCATTAGATTTAGACTACACTTCAAAGACTAGTAACCTAACTAGTCTACATTTTAACAATGAAATCAAAACTAATTCAAGATATATGTGACACGACAGTTCACATACAAACTAATTATAAGCATTTTTAAGTTTGCGAACCTTAATTTATGCTTAGAGGCTACGTAACTAACATCTTTTGGATAACTACTAACTAAAACAAATAGATTGAAAAGAATTCATTCTCTATAAAGTTAAAGAGTGATTAGATACAAATCTGTGTATTAGAATATATATTAAACTTATACTGTGTCTGCCAGTGGAAGCACCCAACTTCAAGAACCTTACTAAGCAGAATAGGATTCGGAGTCCATGACTCATAAATTAGGAGAAAGTGAATTGAAAATAAGTCAGTCTTCACGTAAAGTCCTACTATATGACTATGAGGCTGAACTAAACATAAAGAATGTGGTTTAACAAGAATAAATGATTATGAAATGACATGAAACTCAAATTTAGGAGATATATCATAAATTCCACTTAGTCATTGCGATTGATTTTGGACCATATCTTTTAAAATCACAAACTTTTATCAGAGAGTGCTTCAAGGTATTCAGCCAACCAGTAACAAATAACGTACAACTTGACACTAATTTGTATACAATTAAAGTTGTTACACGAAAAGAAATGGAAAAAACGATGCAAAATAGAGCAGTCGGAAAAGTGAATTCGGAGAACGACTGTTTGGTCAGTTTCAAAGCAAAATTTCCTGCAATTATTACTGAAATGGTGTGGTTTTGTATGTTACAGATTGTCATTTAGGTGGTAAGGCATTCGTGTAAAGATCTAAGTAGTGCGAGAGTACTTTCTGTCTGATTTCCACGTAGCACTGGATATAGCAGAAGGGTGATCGAGTCATAAAAAAACGACTGGTTTGGGTTACTTTTTTGGTATGTCACTAGCTGCGTATTGTAGCAAAACTGGTTTCAATCATTGGTAATAATAATAGTAACAATAATAATAACACTGAAAGTAAACTGGTCTATTTTATATGTTCATATCGTGAACAAACACTTCATATAAGGTCAGACGTTTAGTTCTAGCAATGTCAAAATATTCTCAAACTTTGTTTCACTTTATTTTTACAGACAAAGAATACTCGAAATATGGTACTCCTTATGTTGCCTCCAAACAGATGTAGGGAAAGTATAATTCGTATGGAAGGTACTGAAACATACCGGTCTAAGGTAGAGGGTTTAATTAATCCCTTTCGTTTGGCTACTTCCTCCTCAATGTACTTGATCCTAAAATTAAGCATTATAAGCAAATATAGAAGATTACATTTCGGCGTCTTCATCTCTCTTATTAGTTTCTGTGGTGAATGTTTTGGCTAAACGAGCTTCAACGTCATCGTCCTCTTCGGATTGTTTGGCTGATGATATACTGTTTAGGTCAACTAGACCACCAGTCTTAAGTCTAAATGGGTCGTTGGCGATTGTTAGATTGATATCTGGAACTTCTTTACCAGTGGCTAGTGCAGACAAGCTTACTCCAGCTGGTCGTTTCCTTAGTTTTTGCAATTCTCTTATTGCTTCCACAACCACCGTAGAGTCCGCAACAACTGGTGCAGTAGAATCTTCGAGATGATCTTCCTCAGAATCTGAAGAGGCACCCAGATCTGTAGTTTGTCTTAGGCATCGCACCTTACGCGACTTCATGTGACACCTGAGGAAAAAGAAATGAAACATTTCTTAATACTATCTAGCTAAGGAACCTTGAAAATGACTGAACGTTATTTTTTGAAACGAAACCTTCATAAACACGACAGAATTTTGTTTTGTGTTGCCTCGTAAGATGATGTTTGTACTTGAGTGAGTTCAAGTGGATTGGATAAGCTACTTAGAGAGGAACTGAAAAGTGACTGAAACACCCATCTGTTTTGACTTTACTAACAAGCAGCTAACAACTTGCATATTATGGTTATTGAAAAGCTATGAACCTCAGTAATTATCCTTACATTAACCAACGAATAAAAGGGTTTACTCCAAATATCTGAGAACATGGTGAAATTAGCAACTAAAACGAGAGGACTGTGATTTGGTCGAGAGCAGTAACGGAAGGCAACTGAAGCAACAAAACGGGAATGTGTCGATAGATCTAAATAAAGAAATTCCCCTGACGTTTCTGGAGGGACATATTAGTTAAAAATATGAGGATAGGATCGTCACAATGAAGGATGGGCTTTGATCGTCTAGATATTGGATATTACTTATAACTGGACAGGAACCAGTGGAAATGACAGAAATCACAGCCTAACGTCTCGAAAGGGCGTGGTACGTTTAAAACCACTTTATTGTTTTATGCTTGCCATAAACCCTATTTGAAATAAAATCGATCGAGTCTTTGCTTGCAAAAACGCTATTAGGGCTTCTGTTCTGTACGTCTTTAATAATTGATTTACATTACTGCACTTTTGCATGCATTCACTTTTAACAACCACTGATTTCTTTACCTAAACATTGCATTCAGATCGTTCTGTATTCCTAATGTGCATGAGTCTATAAAATTCATTTTCACCTGAAGATAATTGAACTTTGGGTGAATCATACAGAGTCAAAGATGACATGGAATTATACCTTAAAAGGATCGCATTTTAATGGATTCTTATGGTGATGGGCTACAATCTACTTTCAGATGTTACGTTAAATGATTAAGAAAGCAATAAATTCGACTTTTAAATCTAATTGGTTCCGGAACTTTTCAAAACTCCTCGAAGACTCATACTAGACTTTGTAAAGGGCTCTACCTAAACTTTCAGGCCAACCGGGGTATAGTCATATGCTAAATGTTCATCCCTTGGTTTGAGAAAAGGACTACTTCACTGTTCCAGTTCAGGGGATCTCTGGTAGTTTTGACCACTTCAGAGACATGTCTAGTGTCCTGACCTCTTACACTACTACCCGATGATTTGAGAACGAGCCGATCTGGGTTAACTAATTTTTTTCGATTTTGCATCTTAAATTTAAGGAAAAGGCTTTGATGCATCAAAGATACATATACATGTATCTGTATTTATATAAACACTGTTGAAATAATTTTTGGGATTTTTACAATACAGTGATAAACTGCGAGAATACGAGAAAAAAGGTTATGAAATATCAAGTAACGGTCTAACCACTCTCTAAAGAAAATCCAGAAGCCGTCGAATAAATATAGACGTGGCGCCAAAAATCGTAGTTTGTAACCTACTAATACAATATCCAATATATTTATAGTGAGTTTATCTAAACCCCTGATTTTTTGGAATAGCTTCTACATGTTGTGGTCGGGTTGTAGGTCTTTCATGCCGTAAAATGTAGGTTTTTCAGTCACTCAGTTGTGCGGAACCTGGTGGACTTGGTAGTTGATTGGAGAATAAAATCTCTTGAGTTTGTGTAAGTACGTATGCTCACTAGCAATGAGCTTGGTGGGACTGACAGCTTTCACAGTATCGGAAAGAATGTCGATTCATTGAGGCAATAGAAATTATAAAGCTATAGTGAAGGAATGTGAAAACAAGAAAATCAGAATAAGTAAAACAATAGTGTGCGCAAAGTGTGCGAACAGGCTAGTCTTTTCAAAACTGATAGGCGGCGACAAGGATTGAGGTGAACAGAACTGAGGTATAAGGACTGTATAAACTATAAGAATGATGGTGGTGTTAATGACAAGGTTTCGTAAAAGTGGTGACTGAAGAGGTGTAGTGGCCGAAGATCTGACTCCAATTAGATCATATGAATGACTGTTATGGAAATATACATATCAACAATCCTCTTATATGATAACCGAATTGGATCGCGTTATTGACTAACGAAATTAAAGAATTCAAATACAAGGACGTATTTTGAATATGCGTATTTCACGCACTCATTGATTTGAACAGACAATAAGAGGGACTAAACTAAGAGAGAACAGAGAAGCAGATAGGAGGAGGCAAGTGAGCCAACTCAATGTAATGGGGCGTTAATCAATAGTTGTAGTCAGAACAAAAATAAGCTACAGACAAGTGATGAGTGGGATGTGCAATCAACACATACACGATCATATAAAAACAGTCAGAATAAATGAGCCAATGAGTGACAAGGTTAAAATGTGGTTTAGGGAGAATTAATAGATTGGCTTGTTTGGAGGTCAGAATAAGCTATGTGAGCTTAACATAGCATTTGACGTTATACTATCCCCCACAGAAGCAATGATCGACCTGAATTTCCTATTTTACTCGGAGTAGCATCGTTTGACATTTTCGGAGATTGAATGTCAAACCACTCTTGGATATCTACTGTTACAGTCGCATCTCTTTGTATCTCTTTGGAGCTCATGTGCACCATTTTTACGTCCTATTGCTCTTCACAGTTCATTGCGCCTCAGACAGATAAAAACTGAGGAAACGAAGTTTAAAGGGAAGTCACTGATAAGCATTAGAAATCATCTACTAAACTTTGTGACATTTTCAGAGGTAGCCAAAGCTGAGCATGGATCCTTTCCATCCCTACTTTCTGGGCAGTAGAGAGAGGATTGCTGAGTTTCATTGACTTTTTTGCTGTTTAGAGTCTATAAAGCGTTTAAATAAGTCAGTTATTTGACGATGAAGGGCTTACAAGCTCTAAGTCCTGGTTATTTTTCCAGTGCTAACTCTGGTGTATTCTACTGAGTGATCGTCACTGTTGTCTTTTTGGTAGCATTTTTCATGCCAATGAAGCTTCACATAGTTTTTCAATGCGAGTGTTGTAGATTTCGGTGACTTCTGAAGTTAGTGGGGTCTAGTCTTGAATCGTAGTTCCATGATTTCTGGTTAGCCTCCAGGACATTAAAATATGCTAGTGCTTTGAGTCTGGTTATTGCTTCTTACCCAGATTCATATGTTATATCGCCTAGAGCATCTCTTTGTGTTGGTCAAGACCTTAATATGGGGTGATATGTTTGTCCGATCAACTGATTAATACCGTTCACATTATAGCAACATCAGCTGAACACCAAATCAATCATCATAAAGTTATTCAATGATATGATTTTTAAGTGACTGCTGACATGATATTTCGTTTCATGTTTTGTGTCTCCTGTCACTATTGAGACGTACCATGCCTTGAGTATCTGGTTCGCAGTCCGCGATGTCTTAGTCTATTAAGTTGAAGTGGGAACTCCAGTCGTCATTTTAAAATGGAGGCCTGATTCTGAACATTTTTGTTTTTCTCCTAGGCCCCTTACTGCAATTCACAGACAAGAAGATCACATGTAGAACAGATACCAGTCATCAAGTAGTGAAAGAACACTTAGAGGCTCAATAAGCACTTGAAAGCGAAGATGGAGGTTATGTCCTTTCATATCATGCTGAGCGTTAAACTATGTGATGTGTGTGTGTCTATAAGGTTCGGAAGGAAAATGGATTTAAGACTATGATTCCACCGATTAAGTGTGAGGAGACAAGTCACGGGATTGATAGCCATCTACTGAAGTAGGGGCATTTGGGCACTAAAGCCTGATTATCCATACGGACTGTTTATATATAGTGTAAGCACCCTTAGAGTTATTAGCAAGTTTATTGGAATTTTCTGTACAGTGTTTCTTTTCGAATACAGCTGTTGAGCACTTATTGGGAATGGCTGTGCTTAGATCCGAAAACCTTTCGGTGTCTAAGGGGCCGGCGACTGTTTTTCATTTGCGTTCATTCAAGAATTAATGTTTCATTAAAGTTTGGATGTTCAAATTGTTATACTAGCCATAAATGCAAACTAGTAAACAGTCAGTGATAACGTTTTGACTTTAGTTAAAAAATACCGCAGACTTCAAGTTCTCGAGCAGAAGTTCAGGGCTGGATAAATATGTTTCTTGTCTCTTTCTACATTTTTACATCATAAATGGCTCCTTGAAGTACAGATTTCAAACCAGCCTGATAAACAATGATCTTTAATTTCTCTATTGAACAAGTGATAAACCTTCAGATTTTATTTGGTACGGTTGTAATGGATTGAATTATCGACGATCGTTGTGGTGATATCGGTTATTAATCACACGATTCTCGAGTCTGAACATATAATTACTGAGAAGATGGTTATTCAACACATAACACATGGAGAAGGTTGGTAATGTTGAGCTTGGGATCAATCATTCAAGGTGACATGACTCGACCATGCAGTCGTGAGCACTCTAAACGGCCTATTGCTTTTTTCTGTGTTGAGCATATTACCCTATCCAGCGCGGATGTGTTCTTCAGAGGTGTTAGACACAACACAGCTGATTGTCACAAAAGGACAAGCTAGTGTAGTGAATGATATGCTTTCCACGTCATATCTTATAGATTAGGTAGTCACATCATTTCAAATCCATAATTTGGGAATCAGGTTTATTATTATAGTAGCGAAAATAAACATACTTATACCAAAATAGACCATAAATTCACATACTTACAAATTAGAGTATCTAGCTGCTTTATGTCTGTGACCGTTCATGCCATTGCTAATGACACACATCAATGATGACCTCAGCACATGTTTAACATAAATTTCTAGGGTTAATAAAATTACTAGACACCTGTATTATATGGTACAAGACTTCAAAAAACATACTTCTAATCCAAGGACGATTCATTTTACTATCTCGAAAGACGAGGGTTCCCTTTGGATGGACGCTTAGGTATCTCATTATCATATTCCTTAGGCCAAGGAGTAGTCTCAAGTAAAGTGAAGTGAGTATGTGTCATTTTCTGATGTGATGTGCTAGGAACTCCTTATTTAATATGCTATGATATGAAATATTTAGTCAGCAATCGCCAGTATAATTAACTCCAATGGAAAAGACTTTTTAAAGTTTAGATAAATGGTTTTCGGACGAATCACTCACACACAACAAATCTTCTCATCTAACCGATGATCACATGATTATACTTGATTGCAGGGGTTAGATAGCTGCACTATGTCATAATGTTTGTGTAAATTGACTTCTCTTCTCTATAGTCCCGCCCTTAACTTGAACTCCGAAACAATATTCCAATTGTGCTTACTGTGTTCGTTTTAATTTCGATAATGGTATCTGCAAGGGATAAAGACACCTCGAATCTTACTATTTCCATTTAACATATTGGCGTAACGATGGAGTCAGTTCTTAGACAGTTATACATTGACCCAAATAAGTAGGTCTTTGAAGACTAAATGGTGTGATTTAAAATCTAGTGCACACGAGGAAAGTTATTGAACATGGCGGTCTTGAAGAGGTATTAATTTCCAACTACACGGTATTTAAAGTCGAACATACAATAACTAAAAAGACTTACGTTCGACCGTTGGGATACTCAGAACTAGTGAGCGCTGTAATTGTTAATTGGTGGGGCGTGGCTCGGCCATGCAGGTGTGGCCACTTCAGGTAACCTAGTCTGTAGTTTGGATGTGTAATCTGCGCTGTATGAAAACGTTTCCATGCTTATCTGAAGAGTGGATTTACTGCTTCACCAAGCTGGACGAACTGTGCACTACTCCTGATGGTATTTAGTGTTTAAATGATCGTATTTTAAATCTGCATCATCAAGTGAGTTTGTCCTTGAGTATCGTTATCGTGGATAATTGAGTGTTGAGAAAATGAAGTCTTTGGCAAGACCCATATGTTGGCGGTCGGAGATCAATTTTGATATATGTGTCGCGCAGCAAATAGTCGTGGAAGATGTCACAAGGTGAGAAATTATCCCTTAAATCGGAATTCTTAGCCATTGTCATCTGAGGTTTGATAGAGGATTCATACAGTTTATTGTAGTTCACTTCACGGCAAAATCCATCCATTTGCTGTCATCTATTCATTTTCTAGGTACCGTGAAGTTTTCTGCAGAACATTGTCGACCTCCGACTTCACAATCCGAGCACTAAGAAGTGTTCAGCCAGGAGGGTTGCCTTATGCTTTTCATCTTGCTGCAGATGCAATTAGTAGCTGGTTGAAAGGTATGAGGTGGGAACGTGTGTTCGCAGTTTCCAGAAACCCTTGTTCTGATGAGCAGGCTGAAAAATTCCTAAGAACGTTAAAATCTATTTATTCATCTACGTAACGACACTTGATGAACTGGGTAGGACAGTGAAGATTCAGAAGCATTGAACCCTACCCACACAACCTTTGAAGCTGTGGATATAATTGACAGAAAGTGAAGGTTAACAATGGAGAACGCGGGAACATTAGTTCAATCCATCGAACGGTATGGCTAGACCTTGCACGCGTGCTCATTCTTAAGTAATATCTCTTTTATTCACATTAGATATATTGCTCTATCTCCAGCCTGGTTGTGTTATCCATTATATATTAGTGATTTATAAGAACTTTCGTCTAAATTAAAACGAATAATTTCATAGTATTTGGACATGGAGTTGGTGTGAGACATTAAACAGAAATAATGCATTTGCAAAACCTCAGTGAATGAATTTGAAGTAAATCTAACTTTTCGCCTGGTAGTCTTGTCCAACCTTTTTCAAGGAAATATGATCAAACATCAAAGTTATCGAATATAAATAAGTACATGGTTCTTCGGTTCACTGTACACTGAATAGGCCATCTAATCAGCGTTAAAAATGTTCGAAGTAGGCTTATGTATTAGTATGTAAGAGACTTGTGATGTGAAACGAAAAGTGTTAAGGTAACATATTGTATATATACGTAAGTGGTGAGAGAAGAAACTTCATTCACCATAAACTGTTAAGAAAACACACAATTTTAATATACTATATGGATCATATATGCCACAGTATGCATAAAATGAAGGTAAATAAACAAAACAAAGGAATGAATTCGAAGGAGGAGAATGTATGTGAAAGTGAATATTTGTGTTATTTTAATGTTCCAATTAATTGTTTAACAAATTAGGATAAGACAACTGATTAGAACCATTGAATGTAACTGCTGTCACACAGATAATACGGGATAGATAAAATGGAAAGGGAGTTCAGAATTTACTTAATAATGAATAGTTGCCATGGCACAGATAATTGTATTCCATATCTCCTATTATTACTATTTGGATTGCCTATGTGTACAGGGCTTCGGCCGTTTGTCTCTCTTTGTTAAAATTAAGGTCTTTTTGAAGGATTCTCTTGCTGGTGAAATCAATTGTATGACCATATTCTATCGAGCATATTGCTATCTTTGACTTGTTCTAAAGTTTTCTTACATCATCTTAGGACTTAGGAATGTGTTTTAAGCATAATTTGTGTTCCTTCACGTTCACATTTCGTTGCCTTGATGTTTCACCTGCATACGTTGCATTGCAGTTACTACATCTGATTTCGTAGACACAATTCTGTTGTTCTTCCTTGTGTATTGGATCTTTGATTCTCACTAGTTCTGATCTTCGTGTGTTGTTGTTCGAAAGAATACTCTTATATTTTGAATAGTAAGGATTCTTCTGATCTCTTCTGAAATACCTTTACGATATCGGATCACTACTGCGTTAACCCATTCCTTTTTCTTTAATCTTTTTTCAATAATACCGTGGTGTTCTTCATTCTTAATTATTCTTTTTACGAAATCCTTGGGATAATTGTTTATCATATAGTGGATATAATAATTAAATTCATTTGATTCAGTGACAAGCTTTTGAACTCTTGTGATCGTATTTTTGGCCACTGTCACTTTGATCGAGTGGGGATGTGCTGACTTAAAATCTAGAAGTTTCCCTGAATATACTAGCTTCTGGAAAATACTAATTTTTAAACTATCATTATATTTTCTTTCAACCAAACAGTCTAGAAAAAAGGCAATTTCTGTTCAGAAGATTCCCACTCCTGGGTGAAATTCATTTCGTCATAAAAGTTTTTTGCATGTTTAAATAGTTCATATAAACGATCCCGTTTTGTAATGACAAAAGTGTCATCTAAGTATCTTAACGAATTTTTTGATGGATGAGAACACATTGAGATTGCACTTGTTTCGAATGAACGCACGAATAGGTTAGCAACAATTGAAGAAACCGGTGATCCTATTGCGACACTTTCTGTTTGTCTGTATAAATTTCGAAAACTGAAAACAGTTGAAAGTATACGTAGATCTAACGTTTTAATAATGTTCAAGGTCAAGAAAAAGTCCTCGCTCATGCGCCTACAATTCAGGGGAGATGCCGCTAGCGAAATACTTGCTCAGAGATTACGCAGATCTATCCAAAAATCTTTCAACGCGGTTGAACCACGTTTGGTGTTTTCTACGCGTCCAATGGTGACACCGAGGCTTAAAGATGAAGTTCCTAGAATGACCACTTCATTTTGTATTTATCAGTTGGACTGCTCCTGTGGAGCAAGTTATATTGGTCGAAGTTCTAGGAATTTACATTTTCGTGCTCGTGCACACCTCCCGGAGTGGCTAAGCAAAGGTCTGATGAGGAAAGTAAACAGCTCGATTTTGGCTCATTTAGTACAAACTGGTCATAGTGCCAGTATAAACCAATCGTTTGCAATTGTTTATAGGGTCAGTAACTTTTTGTCTAGGCTTGTCAGCCTTAAAGTCTTTCAAACAGTTGAGGCAGTAGCCATCAGAATGAAGAAACCTGAGCTATGTGTACGGAAGAAATATATCCAACCCCTACTTCTCCCTTGGCCAACCACAAGGCCAAATAATGAGCAATCATCTTAGCTGTTGTATGACCTAATTTGACTATGTACTTACGACCTTTCGTAGTCAAATGTAATTGTCTCTCTTATCTTTATTCACAAATCTTTGTATTTTATTATTATTGGTTAAATATAATTATTAAACCCCCTATACATGATTCATTCACATCTCATTGATCCATCCTTATTACGTCTGACTAATTTTTACCACAATTTAGTCTTCCACTTGATCGAATTGTAATTGCACTATCATATATCTCTCTCACCCTATCTGACCCATATTTATTCTGATCATAGATCTTAAATTTTCACTTTACATATATACAGATTCAAGTTAACATTCTATATGAGTCATATCAACATTAACAATTTTATTCTATTCGATTTGATATTCCTAAATTTACATGCATTAAACGATGTACTTTGCTTTAACCTGGCCAATTTTTCGGATTATTAATTTGGATATATAATTGTAGAACCTGAAGAGAATTTATCGAAAAGAATATTCTTCGTTTAAGTATTAGTCTTTTAATGTTTAATGTACCTAGAGGACAGCGTTGTTTAAGTTCAGTTTCAGAATCTAGTAGATTATATACAATGTCTAAAGCTTTCTTAATGGGAACGTTAGTGAATAACCAGCATACACCAAAACTTGCAATTATTTCATATTCTATGCGAATATTAGTGATAATGTCCTTGAAATCACTGGAATTTTTTATTTAGTATTTGATTACGCTTTCATATGATTTGAAAATCTTAGCCAGTTATCTAGGAAGATTATAGGTTGATGAATCTGTATAATCAACCACAAGTCTTATTATGACATCTGTTTCATGTATTTTTGGTGGCCCATAAAGTCTACAAGGTTTGTTGCTTTTCGGATATAGAGATAACCATACAGATGGTCCTCGTTTGGACTTTAAAGTCCGTAGCATTTAGGCGGTTTCGGCCTTCAACTTATTCAAAGTGGCCCTACATTTGTTATTCATTATATTTTCATAAGGTCCCGTGTAAAGAGGTTCATTTATTTTCCATTCGTAATCAGAACAATTCATAACAACAGCGGTTTTTCCCTTGTCAGCTTTCATATTAACAATTTTTCTGTCTTAACGTACCTGTTTTAGAGCATTCTATATACTTGGCTAAGATTCTTAAACCATATGAAAGCGTAATCAAATACGGAATAAAAAATTCCAGTGACTTCAAAGACATTATCACTGATATTCGCACAGAAGATGAAATATTGACAAGCTACGATGTACGCAGTATCGACGTATGGATCGGATATGACACCGTGAACGCGGTGAGTCTGATCGAATTATGTTGTAATTTCCAACGATGACGTGTACATTCTAAATAATATAGTATGTATTCAGTCCAGTTCCGGACATTTACATTATTAATTTACGAAAAGAACGTACTATAGATTTAAAAAATTCAGATTTTCATATAAGCTGAGATGGCTGAGATTTTTGTATCAAGTATTAATTTCTCTTGTACATGATTCCATGGCTAATTTAGATTTAGAATAAAATACTTTAGCTATGCTTACTTCATTCTTCTTGTCAGGTATTTACGGGTCTCTACCACAAACTTATACTTGTTCGGAAGATAAAATTCAACATATTAACTACTTTGTCCAAATAGTTTATTATCAGTTTGTTTCCTTGATCTTCCATTGCCGATTTGATGAACTCTGTCATCTACTTGTACTTCCGTACTTCATGCTCTTGTGAAATCACTTCGATCGATCATTTGGTTTCCAGTTGATATGGGCTTTTTGGTCTTAGGAACATCAATTATTCTGACATATTCTGGTAAAATGCATCGTTGAAGCAGCTAAGGTCTCCATGTAACTTCTGTGTTACGTAGTTTGCAATGGGAAAACCTCAAAACGGAATTAGGTCTGTTACTCATTACTGTTTGAAACACTATATCTCTCTGGTTTCCAAATCATTGAGGTACCCTGCTCCAGGTGTCTTTAAGGTAGTTCGTTAGTGCTTTCATTTCTTTTTCATTCAACACTAGACTGTCAAATGTGACAGGAACAAACCCTTATGGCGCAATATGATTGGTTTGCTGAAAAAATTCAAATGACTACAAACGTAAACGTCAGAATCCGTTCTTCTTTCATTTGTTAAGAGGAAGAAGAATAATTCAGCCTCATTTAATTTTATGGCGTTCAATATGTTTGCCTAAACCTATCACAATGCCAACGAGGATTATGGTCCAGCTTCCTGGGTTGGGGGTTGTAGAAAATGTCGAAATTCTTTTCCCACTGGGTTCTTTATTACGTAGAAGGACATTTGGACATCTAACAGACAAACTTTTTTCCCACTGTTAATTAGATACATTCAAAAAATCATATTTATTGAAGGCGTATCAATATTATTTCTGACACATTTGAATCACAGTTAAACGTTGTTCCAACACGGCCCTGTGTGTAGCTCCCTAAGAGTAAGTTGTATGCATTGTGTTTATTAACTATGTACAAGTTTGAATGTGAGTTAATTATTTTTAACCATGCTCTGGACAGCAGCACATTATTGAGTTTCGGATACTGACCTTCAAGGTCAGTTTTAATTCGTGCACCTTATAAAAAAGATATGAGACAATACGAGCTTTTACATTATGATGTTTGTCATAACATATACCAACACAAATGGGATAGAATGCATTGAGAATTGTTGTTCAAAGTTTTTCAAATGATTCCATCTTGGCTTCCAGTTGTAAGAGCCTCTGCTATTGGCTGGACTCCACTGCTTCAAAGTAAATTACCTAACGAGCCTTTGATCACAAACAAAAAGTATATAAAGGATCAAAAAATAGTAATTAACGTAAGTGGACGAAGATTTGAGACTCGCAAGTCTACGCTGGAAAAATTTCCTGACACATTGCTTGGGTCTGATGAGAAAGACTATTTTCAAGATCCGGTTTCAAAAGAATACTTTTTTGATAGAGATCCAGAACTTTTTCGTTATATCATGGAATATTATCGATCAGAAAGACTCCATCTACCCAAGGATTATTGTGTGACTGCCTATCATGAAGAATTATTATATTTTGGTATCATGCCAGAAATCATGGGGGATTGCTGCTATGAAGAATACCTTGACAAATACAGGGAAAATAAGGAAAGGCAGCAGGAAGAGAAGGAGGATGCATCGGAAGAAGAGCAACTATCAACAAATTTTAGAGACAGGTTGTGGCGTGCATTTGAAAATCCACAGGCTTCAACATTGGCAGTTGTACTTTATTATGTGACGGGATTCTTTATTGCTGTTTCGGTACTTGCTAATATAACAGAGACTGTTTCCTGTGGCATCAGTGTTGAAACTGGGGAAAATATTCCTTGTGGAGAGAAGTACAACGCTGCATTCTTTTGTTTGGATACTGCTTGTGTACTTTTATTCACAATTGAGTATTTAGCAAGGCTATATGCAGCTCCTGCAAAATGCAAATTTATTAGATCTGTTATGTCAATCATCGACATAGCTGCAGTTTTCCCATATTATGTCGGACTTTTTATGTCTAATAATAAGGAATTTTCAGGTGCTTTTACCACTTTGCGTGTGTTTCGAGTTTGTCGTATTTTCAAATTTTCGAGACACAGTAAAGGATTGAGGATATTAGGTTGCACGTTGCGTTGCTGTGCCTCCGAATTAGGATTCCTACTGTTTACGATAACAATGGGTGTCATTATTTTTTCGACGATAATATTTTATGCCGAAAAGTCGGAAATATCACAATTTAGTAGTATTCCTGCAGCATTTTGGTATACGATTGTGACAATGACTACTTTGGGGTAAGTCCAGAAGTTTTGTAAAAAAAATCATAATATACGATCCCAAACGAAAGAGCTTTCTCCAATTTTTCATAAAGTCAGGTTTATTCAACCATACGATGAAAATCTTAGACTAAAAAATACATTTTTGATATTGATTCTTGTTGTTGGAGGTTGACTGATACCTTTGATTTCAGTCAACATTTTTTTCGTATTTTATTTGCGCACCCACTTGACATTTTAGGTACTTCTTAAAAATTTGAAACAACTTGTAAAATCCACCAAAAATTTCAGGAAATGTGGCTGGCTAATGCGATACTGAAGAGATGTAAAATCTATTTCTGCCTAAACGCCTTGTTTATATGAACCATATGGAGTTTAGTTAACTTGTGGTCACTACCTCGAATGATAAACAGCAATATAAAAAGTCTTGTTACTAGGAGTTTTAGACAAAATTATCAGTCTAAGCATCAGTGAAATTCCATGCATACTTTAACTAGTTTTTCAACCAAAAGGATAGCCTAGCTGTATTTTACCCTTTTTATTTAACTTTTGAGTTACAGCAATGTATTTTTTAGTCTTTGCACGACAACCTTTCATATGGGTCTACTGAATAAAAAAAGTCTACCAGAAAACTATTTTGGTTTTTCGCCAAAATTATTTTGTTAGTGGCATGTCCATTTTGTCCCTGGAGTTGAATGGCTAGCGATGTTGATATAAAACAGCAATGAATTGCGAGCAATAGTCAGAGTACTTAGTAGTTTATTGTAAATTCCGGGTTTTTACTCTTGACTGCTGCACAACGTGTAATCAATGGTGTTTGATTTCATAGAAAGATTACGGACTTATCAATAACCTTTATTAAATGACAGTAACGTAGATGTAATAAGGAGCAATATAAATTAGACATTTGCTGTTAAGTTTGGAAAGTGATACTTTATGCCCTTTATATCCAAGTTTGTGTTGAACTAGTTAGGTTATTTGTTGTTATCTGAAGAAGCGACTTGTATTAAGTCTCAAAACTTGAGAATTTCAATACTTTACTCATTCGAATATGATATACTATTTCGCTTTCAGAACTAGTCCACCCAATGTCCAAGTTAATTAAAATTCCAAATGCTCAGCTTGTTATTGGTTTTCCCAAGCTGCATACCTTCTAATTTTTGTGTGCAAAATTTGAGTTTTAAATAATTTGGAAGGGTACTTTGTGAAATGTTGATGTTTCTTTGACACTCAATATATGAACAGGTGTCAAAAATGATTATTGTACGGAAAAAGTTTCAACAACACTTAGTTCTATTCTAACTCTGCATTAAAATTTAGGCTGCAATTCAAATAAAATAGTTCACTAGTTATGAGTCTGTCTGTAGATGTGATGGCTGATTGTACTACTCAGTTCACCGAACTGAAATGGCATAAGATTTAAACTAGTGAATTGGGGCAAAAAGTTGAATACCCTAACCGTTTAGCCATCGCATCAAAGCGTGAAACATATTTGTCGGTAAATGGACTTACTTATGCCGAAACTTTCGTTTAATCTTCATGTTATCATCTTTCAAGATATTCATTGTTAGAGACATACATTAAACAGTAAAGCCTTAAACGAGTTAATTTGCCAACTTCGGTTTAATTGAGATATAGATTTTCACTCACCCTATCCGTAATGGCCACATTGTAATAGTTTATTATATGACCAGAATTTGTGAGCTAAAAAATTATTTCAAATATCCGCTTATGTTTAGATTTGTGGGCAATCATAACAACTTAACTTGTTTTAAGTTTTCTACTAGTATTTTTTAAATGGTTGCCGCTTAATTTGAGAATAATAAAGAATGATACTAATTGAAACAATAGTAAAAATTATTTGCTAGCACTTTCTTTCAAATTTACTCTTCTTCGCTCTACATAATTCAAGCTATATTATTGTATTTCGTGGCAATCAAGACTTTGATTTTGTACCACTCAAAAACTTAAGACATTTTTAAAAAACCTCAGATAGGCACCTGACAAATTAGCGGCAAATTTGAGTATTTTGATGTACCTATCTTTGTTTTCCACCTAATCTTCTCTTACTCCAGGCAAATTCTGGTGCCTAAAACTAAACGTAAGACGTCCAGCCACAGTGGATGTATCGCATTTATGTAAGCAAGTAAATGAACACTAATTATAACCTCCAGTTTACTGATTCAGCGCCATTTGGTAGATTTCTTGGTAAAGCTGGTAGTGTTTTACTTTCTACTAGATGAGCTGAACAATGGTCGGTACAAAAATATATAGAAATAAATCAAAGTTTCTATTAACGGTTGAAATGCATTTCCATCCTGTTAATCTAAAGACAAAGTTGATTTTAAAACATACTTTTTGTTTTGAAGTGTAATATAAGTTCCTGTTCCCATTACAACCAAAATATCCAAATGTTCTGAGCATCGCGATAGTGTTTAGTATTTTGTGTTGTTGCGGAGATTTGTTCCATCCAGACAGTCATACGTAGTTGATAACTTCAGTTTTATATGGAAATTAATATGCCTAGTGGCACTTTAAAATTTAGTCACAAATAGATAATAGAACCTTGACAGTTACCATTGTGATGAAAGTGGAAAAGCATAACAAGTAGTGTAAAGCGTCTACTTTTAGCTTAATGTTGATTACTTCAAAGGTATTTGATATTAGATAATCTACAAAAATTAGTACGAGTTTCAAATAGAAAAGCTAATGAAATACTTACGCTTGTCTTTTAAAACTTGCATTTATTTATCTATATCGTAGTCAGCATAGAATATGGTGTTATATAATCAGACCCTTCTTTAAACACAGCACAGAAATAAACAAATTTAATGCCTGACTTGTATTTTTGAGGCCTTTATTATATCCGGCTTCTTGTAGAACGATCAGAAAATTAGGTTTGGATTTATTGTCACTAGAAAACCTAGTTAGTTTCGTAATCTTACCTGATGGCTAAAATCTTTATTATAACAACAAAATGTATGCAAATAGCTGTTCGTGTCCTTCATCATCAGTTGTCATATTTTGTAATTTTTAACTATTAATTTGCTATTATACTGCTAAATATCCTGAAAATATTTTAGTATTAAAAATTAGTTATTACTATCTCAATCATTTGGTTTGTCCATAAGAGTTCGACTCCCCTTAGAACAATCCATTTTGTTAATCAACAACTCTTCTTCATTTCCTCAAGTCTAGAATGTGCTGTCGGAATTTCTGCTTTGGAACCCGAGTGAATAATTAGAATGGCTGTTTATGTCTATGTACAGCTTTTAACAATCCTTCATCTTTTGTTATAAGAAATGAGTATTGATACAGAATTCCTTTATAAGTCAGAGAAGAGATACGCACAACTGGATGATTACTAGGTTTAGACAGGTGTGTTCTTGAAAGCGGTTAGAAGGCTGAAGGAAACTCATTCTATGTGATTTGACTCAACAGACTGAATGTTCGAAATTTTCCAGTTAAATCCACTTCAAAGAGAGCAAAACGGTCTTTATCTTAATATTTCTCAGTTAGTTAATCAACTTCGCATAAAGTTAACGTTCATTCTAAATTTTACAGCAATTTAATTACGTACCGGCTTTTCTTGGGAGTTGCACGGTCTATTTATTATTGTACTCATAATATAGGGGGCTGCATTTATTCAAATGAAAACTTGACGGTCATAAAAGCAAACCCACAATATATACTGTCTACTGAAATAAAAGGTGTTCTAAAAAATTAGACTGTGGAATTTCTGTATTACTAACGTTTCTAAAAAAATATTTATTGTTGATAGCTAGACTTGGTCAAAATTTTCTAGACGCAATAATGAATCCTGGCATTTAATTGTTAACCCGAATTTAGGCAAACAAACAATAAGAGGGTAATTTTTTATCATAAATGCTTTCTTGGAGTTGTAGAAGTTCGTTTGATAAGTAACGTTTTAGCTACCTTTCATTTGTAGTTGACTGTCTTATCTTGAACAGTAATGAGTTTATGAGATCTCAGTTGATTAGTTACGTGAGTCACAAAATTTGAAAAAGACTCCGCCAATATCAACAAAACCTATTATCTTAGGTCATGGAATTTGAAAATAAAGGATTAGATCAAGTAAACAATCAATACACATGTACATAAATGAGTGATAAAAAACTATGGGCACTGAACAACCAAATCTCGGGTCATCCAGATAAGCTAATATAACTTATGAAAAAATTTCAACACTCAATTTTATTGCATTCGTTCTCTATCGAAAGTTCGTGTAGGGTCCAAGCTTAGCTCATTGGCCTACAGAATTCAGCATCTCATATCATTTCTGATCTAAAATTTTTCCAACCAATTTTTATAAGCAAAACATGCATTTATCAACGTAAAGTGATATGCAAGATAGTTAGTTAATCGATTATTCCATAGTCAACTATGTCATTCAAAAACCTGACACTAACTCTTTCTGAATAAAGTGAATATAATATATCTTACAAAACGCATAAAAAATCCCCTATTTGAGTATTTTTATTCTTATACATTAAACAGGAAATAGTTTATAAATTATGAATAAATACTAGACATAAACCAATACATTTATGCGTAAACGTAAACGAACGGCTTATCTATATATATTATAAATATGTTTAAGTGTTTAACTTTCCGTCCTTTTATCAACAAATATATATAAGCATACATACCCATAAATATACACACACGAAGTAATAGTGTGGTAATGATCACAACCAAGTAATAAAAATAAAGTACAAATTTTATTTCATGCATTAACTGTTACATTAGTACCATTATCTAGTTACTTATTCTTTATAATTTAAAGTAAAAACCAAAAAAATATTTTTTTTTTCATACACATTTAACTACATTAACAAATTTTCTTATTTATATTTTTTAAAATTAGTAATAAAAATTCTTTACCGTCATTTGATAAAAGAAAATTTTTTTTATACTTTTTATCATTAGTTCAATAATTAAATCAGCAACAATTTAAAGAAAGAAAGAAAAAAGTAAAATAAATATTTTACGGTATT